CACAATTCAATTTATTCTTAGTCACTCTATCTGGAACATTTTGAAGAGTCATTTAACCATAACCATATCTAAAAACATCTCCGGGGTTTGGTACAAAGAAAAATAAAGAATAGGAGCAATAAAACTTAAAATGGTTAACTACAAACAAAAAATAAAAAGTGGGCACGCATTAAAATTACTTCTTTCGACATAGCCTTAAGCTCAGATACTAAAGCCTTTGTGGTTTTCTCAATGCCCCTAGTGATCAAGACCGGGTTTGCGCCAGCTGCAACCACCTGAATAACAGTCAAATTAGCGTTTACAACAAATAGCAAGACAATGACTAAAACTACACTGCTCTTCACAAACCAGAACATAATGGTCAGAGGACAAAAAAAAAAGATGCACAAACCCTGACACCTTCAGCAATCAGACCTTGCGCAAGAACAACAGATGTTGTTGTTCCATCACCAGCCAAGTCATTAGTCTTAGCAGCAGCCTGTCTAACCAACTTAGCCCCAATATTCTCAACTGGGTACTCCAACTCAACCTTGAAATTGACACACACACAACAATGAATAAATAATTGATACACCATAAGGAAAAAGACAGATTCTATTCGTTATTCTGGAGAAAAATTAATTTGGTTACAAACAATGAAAATCGAACTAAAATTACATATTGTCTAAATAGGTTGTTAGAAAAGGGCAATACCTCCTTAGCCACAGTCACGCCATCATTAACAATTTTTGGAGAGCCATATTTGCTTTCAAGAACAACATTTCTACCTTTAGGTCCCCCAACCAAATCAGCAAGCTTGTTTACACCAGTCTACATCAAAACAACTTAAAAAGTAAGATTGAAAACCCATACAAAGGCCAACTCTAATTCATCAATATTTGAAACAAACAGAAGACTCACTTGCAATTTCTTTATAGCTTCACCATCCTTGTTGAAATGCAGCTCTTTTGCTGCAGAAATCTTGGGCAGTCGAGATCGTTGAAGAACATAGTTTTGACGAGTAGCGAAAGAGGTTGAAGAAATGGAAGCCAAAGATGATAACCTGCTTGAAGAAGCTAGTTTCTTATCCACGGCAGGGTTTTTTGGAGCAATGAATGAGCCAATTGAAGACATAGTAGTCAAAGTAGATGCCATTTACTCCTACGAAGCTGGAAAAAAATCATCATTATTGATGACCTTTCAATTAAATGAAAATTATTGAATTATCATTAAACAACAAGTTCCAATAATTTTATTTTTTATCTTCTAGAACTAGAATAGATTTAATATTAAAAAAATAAGGCAGAAAAATCACCACAGGACTAGTGCACTCACACATAATATATACACACACGTAAAGCATTTCTAACACTAAACACATTAACTTCACATAAAAGGAAGAACAATATACCTTAAATTAAATGTGATTTAATGAATATACAACAAAGAGTTCCAAAATGTTTATTTCTTCCAATTTCCATGATCTAGAACTCGAATCAATATAGTAAATAAACAAATCCTACCACTAAAAACTCATTATTCCTTTAAAGCATTTCAAATTCTAACCACATAAATTCAAAGACAATTAAAAAGGAAAACGGAGGAGGCATATACCTTAAACTAGTTCCAGAATGAAAGCAAAATTCTGAAACAAAAATGAAATAAATATCAGTACCATTTCTTTATAAAAATAATGAGAAAAAAATTATTGACAAGGAGAGATGGTGATGAAAGGAAAAGAGAACAACAAAGGCAGGAAAAACGATTGAGAAAAAAAGAGGCAGAGAAAGAGCGCATCAGAAGCGTAAGTGGCAGCCGGAGGTGGGCGACGGCGGCGTAAGTAAGGGGGTGAGGCTGTGATTGTGGTTGAGCCACCGTACTTACCTTGGCTTGGAAAGGCTTGAGCTGAGCACTGAGGTTTAAGCTTTGCTTTGAATTAGCAGAATGGATTGATTAAAATAACGACATTACTAACACAAACAAAAGAGTTGTTTAAGGCTAAAACTCGTGAAGATTCTATTTAATCTGGACCGTTCGACCTTTAATTTATTTGTCCATTATTCTTTTATTGGAACTGTCTAGAATATTTTTCAAAATTCTTACAAAAAAGAAAGAAAAAAACTCTGATATTAAGGGTATTTAAGTTTGTTATATTTTTAAAATACATAATGATAAATATAATATTTATATGTTTTTTATAATTTAACCCTTATTCTTTTTTAGATAAATTTGATTTTAATTTTTTAAAAAGTATAATATTAAAAAAATATCTTTAATATTTAATTGAGTAATCATTATAGCAATCTAATTCATTAATCTCTGTTGTTTGACTCAGCTCTAGCAAGGAAGATGCAGAGGTCATAGAGTAATCAGATACAAGAGACCACGTTCCAGTCCTGATAGTCGAAGATTGATCAGACGTTGAATCGAATCTCGTCGCGGAATACGGAGGTGTTAACGGCTGAGGGAGATCAATTGATCTTCTCCCAAGTACGAGAACAACTGAAGATATTATAGGCCTAACTGAAGGGTCATCTTGAACACAAAACAGTGCAATGTGATTCCATCTCAGGATTTCAAAAACCGGACAATCTCTCGGATCGGTCAACTCGTGTGCTTTGCATTGGTTCCATTGCATCTGCGTATGCTCTGGGGGCATATGTAACAGAGTCTGAATTAGTGAAAGAAGCCTTTAGGTACAAGGAAGAGATAATAAAAGAGATGATGCCTGCATATGTTAAAAGGACTTGTCCACAGTCCTGGTAAAATCCCCTGCTCCTTTTACCACTTCATATTTCTAGCATTACGATCCCCGAAGATGTGAACATCGGATTTGTTCGAAAACAACCCTTCAAACGCATATTCTCGTGCCATATATCCACTGGATGAGAGTTAACACTAAATATGCAACAGATTTAGACCCTTCTTTTCGCCTTTCGATCGGGATTTGGTTAAGGAACAAAAATGAAGTACTAGCTATGTCCCAACAACTCGATCGGTGTTGGCTTTGATCAAATAACTGCTTTTGACCTTGTAAAAGGGCCGAAACCGCCTTCTCCGAGCTTATTTTCCCAGGGAGAAGTTGTTTGTTGCATGATGAATGGTAACTAAATCAAACTGCTGCATCTCCATCAAATGAATATCCAACTCTATCAAATAAGAACTTCTCTTCCTAACAAAGGATGAATAATACAGGGAACCGATAAGAACTGCTGCGAAAACACTCCCTAACGAATGATTATTACGATCCTTCTTGTGCTTTTGCATCCCTCTTCTGCAGTTTAATTGACCAAAACTCGTACGTGAGTATGCTCGTATCGGATATATACTCGTTTCCAACACACTAGTGCATGTTCTACTTACCTCGACATTAAATAATACGGAACAAGCTCGACTCGGCCAAAAAAATTGATGTCCGAATACCACTACAATGCTGGTACCAAATGATTGCTCTTTTGTAAGAAGGGCACATTTGTGTGAGCAGTTGAGTATTGTTGAGCGCACAAATCCGGCAAACATCGAAGCATCACCTCGACAAACAAAGAGACCGTAAATTCCACGGAAGCTAACATTGCAGAAGCTGAGGTGGGAAGCTTTAGATGAAATGGAATCAATAAGAGCCGCAAGGTCGGATTTATAAGTGGGGGTGGCTTTTTCTTTTCCGGACCTAAACAACAGTGACCAGCATACAGGTAGAAAACTGGCAAGCAATGAAGTTGATGATTGTTGTGAATCATAAAGGCAAGGCTCTGGGTCTGTAATAAAAGAGAGGAAGCTTTGTTTTGTAATGCTTGAACTATCTGTCTGATGAATTTGTGTTGAAATAAACATAGGGCTTGGTTTTGTTAGAGCCACGATGTCTGACTCGAGGGATTGATTAGTCCATGAAAGCTTGCAATGGAGGTAACTTCTTCCTCGCGCTACTATGCATTATTTTTTTTACTGCATTTGTAAAACATTGAGGACATTATATTTTAATTCTATCTAATTCTTTAATTAACTTGAAATATTTATGTTCGATATTTGTACTGGACATATAAATGTGTAAATATAACTTCCAAGAATCCTCTAAATATATAAAAAAAAATTAGAATTTTTTGTGGGATTTAAGTTAGACACAAGAAAACAACCAAAATTAAGGATTAGGTTTAAATATGTTGAAGGTCTCAATACTATTTTAAATTTTATATTTAATCTTTATATATTGTTTTTTTTAATTTAAAATGGTATAATGATAAAATTATTCCTCGATATTTTCACAAATAGTTATTTTACTTTTTTTTGGAACATTTTAATTTTAACGTTTTAATTTTTGGTCAAAATAGGCCATGTTGTACGAAAATATTTAGTTGGCTAACAATCAATTCATATTATTGATGTGTCATTTTTACATGTGTTCCATTATTGACGTGACATGTACTATGTTACAAAGTGATGATATGTTATATATCACATCAATAATATGTGTTAACTGTTAGTTAATTAACAATTTCTATCAAATGAAGTATATTTTTGATAAAATATTAAAACATTAAGAAATGACATGCTTAAAAAAAAGACAAAATGATCATGTGTACAATCGTTAAAGATATTTTTTTATTATATCTACTAAAATATTAAAGATACTAAGTTCATGGACTAGTATAGAAAACATTTTAAATTTATGTATTGATTTAGAAAATTCAAATACTAAATTGGGAGAGATTGTAAGACTTACGGAGCAATTGATATATTAAATTAAAATATTAAAATATCTGAGATTGATATTTTGTGGATTTTGTCTAGTCAATTATAAATTAGATAGATAAAATTGTTCTGAATTTGATTTCGAAAAACAGAATCAAGCAAGAGACGAACAATCACAAATCTCTGTAAGTTTTTTTTTCATTTGTTTTTCCTTCGGAATTTTTCTGTTTTTGATTCCCATTGATAAAAACTAGCAATTTCATTGGTCATCTTAATCACACATTTGAAAAAATTTCGCAGGAATTTGAGTTAGGGTTTTGAAAAAAAATCACTGAATGTACAACGGAATCGGACTTACCACCCCTCGAGGGTCAGGCACCAATGGGTATATTCAGAGCAACAAATTCTTCGTAAAGCCGAAAACGAACCGGGTAACCAATTCCTACAGACCTTTCGAGGCTGATCAAGGAACCGCCGGTCTCACCACCAAGAAACCCAACAAGGAAATCCTAGAGCATGACCGCAAGCGTCAGGTTGAGCTCAAGCTTGTGATTTTGTAAGATAAACTCACTGAACAAGGTTACACTGAATCTGAGATCGCCGATAAGCTTCTAGAGGCTAGGAAAGCTCTCGAAGATGCCCAGCAAGATTAAGATGAAGAAGAAGGAGAAGTCGTACCAACGCCTACTCGTCAACAAAAGTAATTTTCTTTTAATTTTAGTTTTCTTGTATTATTATAGTGGATGATTATGGATTTTTTTGTTCGTTTATTGATTTATTTATGATCTGGAGGTTGGGGTTTCGGATAAACATACCAAGTTGATTATTAGCAATTTTTTGTTTTCTTTTATTATTGTTAATAGAGGATTATGGATTCTATTGTGTATTAATTAATCCATTCATGTTTTGGGTGTTAGGGTTTCGGATACCCAAACTCACCAGGTTGCTGCGAGGAAGGAGAAGCAGATGTAGACCTTTAGGGCTGCTCTCGGAATTGGGATTTCCGAATCTGGGCTTCCTCCTTTGCCAAGTCGCCCAAAGAATAACGACGAGCGTGAACATGCCTTTCTGAATAGAGACCCGCCTGTTTCTTCTGCATTGGATGTAGATGATCTTAAGGTGAAAGCAGACAAGAAAAAAGCTCAAGTCGTTGGAGATGAAGACTATGAGTCGCACCACCGGAAAAAGAAAAAGGATAAGAAGAGGTCTAGGCATCGTGATTCGGATACTGATACAGATAGCAGTGTAGAGCATTCGAAGAAAGCTACTCGCAAGAAGAGTCGTAAGGGTTATGATAGTGAAAGCGGTGATTCTGATGTTCATGACCATGGCAGGGAGCCGAAAAAATCAGTGAAGAAGCGTGATAGAAGCAGGCCAAATGATGTGGATGATATAAAGGTGAAATGATTATATTTAATTTAAATTCTTAATCCGAGTTGAAATTTTACAGTAGTTTTTTTGCGTTTCTGGTTAGTAAGTCGTGCAGTATGCGGTTCAGGGGTTATTGAAATATATTAATTTGCATAAATATTAATGAATAAGTAAATTAGGTAAAAAGTTCCACGTCATAAGAAACTTTGTCATAAACAAGGATCAGATTCCTTTATATTAAAGAATAAATTATATGATCACAATATTTTAAATTTCAACAAAACTGATTGATTTGTTAACTGCTTCTATGCATGAGTTCGACTTAAACTTATTGAAAGTTATGCTGTCGTTTAATCACATATGTGGACTATGTTTAATGTTAATACACTGATCTGTTTCATGTCACCCTATAATTTGTGTTTCCTTTGATATTGCAGGGTAGTGAATATGATTCTGATGCAGACAGGGTGAGAGGTTGTAAAAGAGAGATTATTAAGAAAAGTCGTCATAGGCATGATTCAAGTGAGGATTACTCTGATTCTGATGGTGGGGGGCAAAAGAAGAGAGGTGAAGTTCGAAAACAGAAGATCGAGTTGACTGGGAGGCAGAGGAGAAAGAGGGACAACATAGGTAGTGAATCTGATTATGATGCAGATAGAGCAAGAGGACGTAAAAAGGAAATAGTTGAGAGAAGTCGTAACAGACATGACTCCAGTGAGGATGACACTGATTCTGATCATGGGAGGGAAAAGAAGAGAGGTGAAGTTCATAAACGAAAGAATGAGTTGACTGTGAGCCAGAGGAGAGAGAGGGACATCAGCGGTGAATCTGATTCTGATGCGGACAGAATGAGAGATCGTAAAAAGGACACAGTTAAGAAAGGTCCTCATAGAAACGACTCAAATGAGGATGACTCTGACTCTGCTGGTAGGAGGGAAAGGAAGAAAAGTGAATCTGATTCTGATGTAGATAGAAGAAGAGATCGTAAAAAGGAAATAGTAAAGAAATATGGTCATAGGTATGATACGGAAGATGACAGTGATTCTAATAAAAGTGATGAAAAAGTAGAAAAGGGTAGGAGAGGAGCTATGAGACATGATTCTGATGATGATGAAAATTCCAATTGGTCCCATGGTAGAAGTGGCAAGGCTACAACAGCAGGAGGAAGGACTATCAGGAGATCGGTCTCTCCAAGTGATGATAGTGATGCAAGTTCTAGGGACTCTGACAAAGACAGAAGAGGACATAGAAGTGATGATGACAGTCGCGGTGTTAGAGCTAGTCTTCGATATCAAGAAGAAAAGGACTTTGCATCTTCTGCAGCCAAGAATGGTGAGAGAAAAGGAACAACACTAAATGAGGGTTATAGATTAGAGAGATTGCAGAAATCAGAGAACAGTAGGGAAATGATGAAGGGCAAGAGGAAGCTCGATGGTGAATACCTTGACGAGCAGCCAGAATCGAAGTCAAGAAGTCGAAACATAGGAAGAGACATGGAGCACAAAAGGGATAATCCTAAGGATACCAAGTTCGATTCTGAATCAGAGGCCAAAGCTTATGGGTGAAAAGATTATTTGAATGGGGATGGATATTCTAGGTGGCGGGAAAATGACCAGGATAACGATGAATAGATGGGGGAAAGATGATAAAAAGAGGACTGAATATTCTAGGTCAGTTAGGTCTGGAGGAGAGCCAGACGATGAGACTGGTAGACAACGTGGCAGACTTCAGAGTAAGATAAGCAAACCAGATAGTGAATCTAAGAGAGATGATCGGGATTATGAAGATGGGAGAGGTGGACAAAGGCATGACAAGGATGAAGAGGAACCCCAAGAGAGACAACAAGAAAGAGATGAGAGGGACCATAAATATAGAAGACGTGGAAGGGATGAGGATGAGCACCATGGAAGCCGTAGATACAGGGAAGACGATCGAAGGAATAATAGTACTGTATGGGATAACGCTCAGTCCACTGAGAGAAGATCACGTAGAGATGATCGATGATGATGGTTGTGGCAGCGGTATTTTACTGTCTGTTACTTTTGAATTGCACTTGCCATGAACACCTATGAGAAGTTCTGTTCATAGATTAAATTGCTTTGCTTCTAAAATATATAATACTTAGATTGTTGATTGTGGTTTACATCACTTTGTAATTTATACTTTCATGCTTAAGGATTGGTTGCTATATTTATGACTAATAAGGGATTTTCAGTTATTATTTTGATAATCCCAAGCAATAGAAGCTCTCCTTTCTTCCCATTCACGGAGATTATTAGACATGGGTTCTTTTCTGATTTTTCGAAAGTAAACTAAATTTTAATATGAACCGTCCCAAATAAAATAAAAAATAATAATATTCTTGTACAAACTTAATTAAAAATATTAACATATTATGATATATTATTGATTTCGAAATATCAAAATAAAATATTCTAATCAAGCCAATTCGGATTCGAATAAACTTGATAGATTTTGAAAGATTTCGACTCTTCATTTATCTTAAAGTACTCGCAACTCTTAATCTACGCATATTCGAAAACAGATACAAGGATACGATATTCCAAAGACTAATACACGAAAATCTACTTTCTCAACGAATACCACCAGCTCTCCCTGTAAATCGCCCTTAATACTAACCTCATCAAGCACAACTCCATCAGGAAGAAGACAACAGTCTACGGTTTCGACATCAAACAGCCCTGAATCCAACAGTGCTGGAATTCGATTCATTAAAAGCTTCCTTTTGGCTAATCTTTTCTCCTAAATGCACCATACCTAACCTATTCACCCATGTTAACATCTTATTGTTCAGATACACTAATTCCAGGACTGAGATTACCAAGCAGCAGCTACTAAGGAAACCGAGTCCTCGGTCTTCCCCTACCCCTTTTCTTGATAGGATTACCATGTGCATCCGGTTTCGGTCCTTGATTACCACGTGCCTCCGTCGGTGTAACCGGTTTTTGTCCTTGATTACCATGTGCATCCATCGGTGATACATTTTGGCCATTAGAAGGTTCAGCCATAAACGGCCGAATCGGTGCAGCAGTTGGATTGAGACCATTTTGGTTAGGGCTTGATCCGCTAAATGGGAAAAAGGGTGAAAACCCAGATGGGAAAGGGCCATTAGGAGATACACAAACAAAAGGAGCACTCTCGGACGGCCCCGGGAATATAGGAACCAAGGTGCGTACCGGTTTTACATCCAGAACTTGGGATTTATTGATTGAACTCGTTTGAGCAGTGTTTCCACCCATCACTCCTTCCATTCCAAAACAAAAATCTTCTCAACCAAAGTTATGCACTAAACAAATCACCAGTGTGAACCAAAATTACACAAATATCAGTCCTTTGAACCGAAAATTTCAACCTCAACCTGTTTACGCACTAAACCGAGCTCCTGAGAGAACCAAAATTACACAAAGATCACCACTTTGAACATAAAAAAAAAAATCACCCTATCTCTTCAAAAACAGGAAAACACCCACTTCAGTTCTTTATTTGTTGTAGTCAGTAAACCTAAAAAATTACACAAAATCAGCCTTTTGAACCAATAATTTTCCCTTTCTTCTTCAAAACAAGTAAACACCCACTTCATTTTTCTCCATTATTGACTGTTTATGCACTAAACCAAGCTCTTATCTGAATCAAAACTACACAAAAGATCAGCACTTTGAACCCCCCAAAAAAACCCTTTCAATAGTTTTTTCTTTCAAAAACAGTAGATACCCACTTCAGCTTTCTCAATTCTTGATTGGTATATGCACAGAATCAATGTCCTATGTCAAAGAGAAGTACAGAACAAAGAATCAAAGTCTTGAGGAAAAAATGGTTCTTTAAAACAAGAAATATCCATTTCCTTTTTCACAATCCATGATTTTTTACGCAAAAAAAAGAAAAAGGAAAAAAAGAGTGAAACAAACAAATAAATACATACATAAACAGAAAGTGTAGAGAGAAATATATCTAGGGTTATCTCTTGAAAAGGAAGCAACTATTATCAAAGTTTATCATGAAAGTAACATAAGAAAGTGTGTTTACCTAAATAAGAAGAACACGGACGTGAAGAAGACTGAACCGACTTCGAGAAATTGATGGGAATTAGGAGCTTTGTTCTAATAAGATCATAAATATACACTTACCCATGAACGTGAAAAATGGAAATAAAATTAAGAAAAATAAAAAGGTAAAAATGTGGGGGGAAATTAGGTTGAAGGGTGTAAGAACTAATTTTTTTTTTTAAAAAAAAATTAATTATATTTTTGAAAATTTTGTATTCAATTAAATTTATATATATTAGAATTTTATCAATTGATTTTTAATTAATATTAATTAATGAATTTAATAATTTTTCTAAATCAATTATTATCACATATCATATTATATTGTTCTCAAGTAACAGTTTTAAAAATTAATTATTATTTAAATAATTTTAAAAGTTATTCTAAATTTTAATAGATTTTAATTATTTTAAAAGAATCTATAATGTTTTTGATAAAAAAATCTATAATTTTAATATTAGATAATTATAATATATCACATACTAATAATCTCTCTAGAAAAAAATATTAAGATTTAATTATTAAAATTCATTAAAGAAGTTAATAATTTGATTTTGTATTTAATGACTTAATTAATTTAATTTGTTAATTTAAAATTTTGATTCCGTAGAAAATAAAAAGTTTAATTTTTTTTTAAAGAAATAGAAACTTTATACACCTTTTAAATAAAAAAAATAAATCTTATGAACCTAATTCATCATATCTTTCATAATCACATCCATCACCTTTTATCAAATTGTCTCTTCCACCACGTTGCTATTTATAAGACATATTTGGTGCACATTCAATAACTGGCCCCAAAAGGTCAAATTTTGGGTGAAAATTGTGAACCTTTTTATCAACTCATTTTTTAATAAAAATTAATTTTCAAGTAAATAATTTTATATTCTCAAAAAGTTCCTTGATTTATGCTTTTCATTTATTGTTACTTAATTGTAGTAATCAAGAGTTATAATTAAGTTTCGATTGCGTAATTATTTGGTTATATATATGAAAAAAAATGTTTACAATATTTAAATAAAAATATATTTTAAAATTTATACTGTTAATTTGTTTTGTAAATTACACGACCAGCTAAAAGTGATATTCGACAGAATTTTAAATTCGAATCTCATCATTTACAATCATAACAAAAGTTAGCGAGTGATTCAACTATCTCATTCAACCAAACAATAATAGTCCGACACAACAAAACATTTTTTTTTACCCTGACAACTTTCAACTTAATTCCCAAGATATCGAAAACCAATGATAAAATTCTCTGACATCGTTACCGGGGCAAAGCTAGACTACCAAGAAATGTTGCTTACCTTATAACGGAAGCATCATAGTTACCGACGGAGTGAACCGAAAATCCATCGGCATAACTGCCTTTCAACCACCTTGGATGCTACCATCAATCTCAAGAAACTGAAAGGCTATATATTAGTTAAATGCGTGTTAAAATGGACTATAACTCGTCGTGTGGCTCGGATTCTCCGTCAACTTTTTCATCAGTTGAGCCATCTGAGTCCCCCGCTGGCTTGTCGTTTTCAGAGGTATCCTTCTCTGGAGTTGAGTCGGAACTGGTTGTGTTCTCTGATTTGGTCTCGGTGTCGTTCTTTGCAGGCTTCTCAACTTTAGGTTTCGGCTTCAGAATTCTCTTAACGCTAGCAGCCTAAACAAAAAGCGACGTATTAACCAGGAGTTACACACGTGTAAGCAGACAAGGTGACATTATCAAATAGAACAACAGCCATACCTTGTCTTGCAAATTGAATACCTTCTCGTATACCTCTTCAGATGTAAAAACAGGCATGCTGTAACCCGACATCCTGGAGAGAAGGTTAACATGAACTTTGTCATGTTGAGCACACAAGGTTCGAAAGCAGAATTAAACAAGAGACACGCTATAGGAGGTGGGAAACATATGATTTCCTTATAGAATGCAACTAAAATATTAGGACGACAAGAGAAAAGTTATAGTATCATTAAGGGCTATGTTACTTGGACTCCGGTACGAATATCAAATATAGGTATGTGTTGGACATGGATATGTTCGATTACATTTCAAGATTTACTAGGGTCATTAGTCCACCCTATACGTATGTCCAGACTTGTACATAGGAACTTCAAGAAATGAAGAGAGGGGCACATATATATACACGCATAAAGATCCAACATCGCACTATGTTTTACGAATGCAATGACTTTGAACATAAAACCAACAGCAATAACTTACTTCTTTTGCTCTGCCTCCTTCTCATCCAACCAAGTCTTCAACTTGTCCATACTGCTCGACAACTGAAAAGCAAAAAAATATTCAAATTTTCGCCGCAGGATAAGCAAAAATCTAATTTAGAAATTATCATAAAGAGAATTTTGAAGTTAAACAAAATACCTCATCTATTCTGTCTTTCGGCAGCCAAGGTTTGTCCGTCTCCCACCCAAGAATAGTCTACACAGATACCCACAAAAATAAATATTGATATAGCAGTTAACAATATGTTTTGACTTTAGAGAATTATCAAGGCATTTATGGAATTGTGTGTCAACGAATGAAGGACATATCTATCCTCTGGCTAGATTTTTTGTACATCGGCCTATGCAAAACCTGAGATGTCTTGGAATGAATGGACATATCTAGCCTCTGACATACCTGTTGCAAGTCGGTGAGGTAATGTCGAGCAACTTCTACTGCTTCAGGTCGTGCAGTCAACTCTTTAAATCTAAACAATAGCCACAAATTGTTTCAGTCCACCATTCCTAAACCCTTCTAATGTATTTTTGTTCAGACTATATTGACACAATTAAAAAAAATCCCAAGAAAAAAGAGGATACCGGAAAAATATTGGGTCAGCTGCTGCTTTCAATGAATTTAGACGATCTTGAAACTCCGTGGCACTTGCATCTTCACCATCAGTATACAACCATTCTTGAACCTGGAAAAAAAATGCTCCATGCTTAATTTTAATC